CTGTTACTATGTTAGACTGTTACTGTCAGCCCACAGGCATAAACGTTTCTAAATTTTTACGTGACTTTTCATCCAAATGACGGGCAGTCAAACAACTTGTGGATGATTTTTCTCCTATCAGAATTGTTGTAGCAAGGAAAACTGAACGGTAATTCATCTTATTGAGTCTTAAACTATCTCTCATCTTTTGAGTCTTAAACTATCTCGATCAATACATTAAAATAGTCGTTTTTTGTTATACCTGCCCGTCATCTGAAATACCAAAATTACGTCATTGCCAACAAAGAATAAGGGCACAGAATAAGGAAACGAACAAGAAGGGACACTCCTTTGATGTTAGGCGGTCACGCCGATAGATACCTGTGGCTGCATACACCCGCGAGCGAGCGGCGGCCATGTTCTTAGCTAGTATAGTGAGAGAATTTTACTATAAATAATATGGTGAAAACTGCACTATATGATTATTAAAACTGCTCCTTTTGGAATATAACAGGCCTGTCAACCCTAAAATTTTAAAACAGGGAGATTTCATTTTTAGCCCTTAAAAAACTGTGAGATTTTATCAAAAACCGGGAGAGCAAAATTAAAATCATATAATTTTATATACATTATACAGTGTTCAAAACAGTAAAAAATTCTTATCATTTTCCCGGCTTTATAATCATTATAATTGCATTCGCTTCAACAACTTGTTTAATTTAATTTAATGCTATAACATGGCAAGAATGCAACTAGTTTTCGAAATCCCACGTGACATCTCACATCCTTACAATAATCTACTTATCACTTATAGTTCATGGAGTAAGTTTCAGCTTGGACACAAGTGATTTTCACACGATTACTATTTCTTGCCAGATATTTGAATCTGGAAAATATTCCATTACCTCATAACAATTAGAACAAGCAACCGGGAGAAAATATCTTGATACCGGGAGACAGGGAGAAAAAGGTCAAAACCGGGAGTCTCCTGGCAGCACCAGGAGAGTTGACAGGTCTGCGGATCAGACTTCGATATTTGAAATAAAATTAATAATTATCCACGCATTGTTGCAAGAATGAATTATCCATGCATTTATGAAAGCATTATCATGGTTGCCGCTACATTAGGGACCATTCATTATTTATGACTGGAGGTGGTCTGGCAAAAAAAGGGGGTGGGTCATGAGGTATTTTTAACCGAAAAAGGGGGGCCACCTAAAAATATTGGTTCAGAAGGGGGGCGGGGGGGGGGGTCCAGTTATTTTGTTATAGTGGTATTATAGTGGAGAAAAATTAGACATGTAACGATTATTGCTCCCACAGGGAGCGAGCAAGACAGCAAATTTAATTCATGTAGCTAGCGAAATTCTCAATTTTAATCAACAGATGGACCCAAAATGCAATGCACAAATACCCAAAATGCAATGTGTGCAGCTAATATGAAAAATAATCAAACATCTACCTTATAACTTTTGCCATGAACTTGCAATAAATTTTTGTCATATTTCAATATTATGTACATTTTAATAAAAAAAAGATAATTAACGAATAAGCGATGTAGCAACATTACGTCCAGGGAACGTTTGGCATATACTATATACACCAGTTTATACTGGGTATTTTATACATTGGTTTCATTTAGTAAGGAGTTTGTCAGTTTACCGTGTCAAGTCCGAGTCAAATGTCTGAGTCACTAGCTGTTTAGCAGTCTTTCTCGTTCATTGACATAGTACCCTAACCCTACTCCTAACCCAGGGCAGTAGCAACCGGGCACACTGGGGAGGCTGCAGCCCCCAATAATTTGCTAATAATCATTCTTTTTCCAAAAACATGCAGATCTTTATCATTTAAATAATATACCTTTAAAGTTTAAAATACTGACAATTGATTAATTTTAAGCGGCTGCCGCTACATACATTATCATCCATGACAAACTGCAAAGAATGAAGATATTTCTCATACTTTCTTGCAACTTATCCAATATATAGTTAATTTAAATATGCCTTCGCCCATTTAGTGCTACTAAATTGTAAATTTTGGCATACTAAAATGCTGTTTTCTGTCAAATCTAATTCCCCAAAGTCCAGGAAATGGCACTTCATAGACTCTAAATTTTAAAAATTTCCTCGGGCCTTTGGCCCTCGCTTTTAGCTCCCGAATCAGAAAGAGCTCCTACGGCACTGTAACCCTTAGTCCTAACCTAACCTGAGTATCAGGCCGTACTTTTTAGGGCA